ATTAAACCTCTTTTCACTTTATTTGCTGGTGTCCTGACACCACGAAAATAACTGCCGCGATGTGAGTCTTCTTTTCCTTGGAAGCTGACTAACGCTGCAGCAGGAATGTACACCGAGCACCACGTGGGACAAGGGACCAGAAGACCTTACGTTCTGTGCGGCACGCCGTGAAGTCAAGCTCAGACGAACCGCCCAAAGGCATATTTAGGGAGTCAATCTTTCACGTTTTTTAATTGGTAATTGTTTGTGAAATAGAGCCTTTTATATAGAATCAGTTCCCGTGTTTGCAGAATCAACTGGGCGATAAACCTCAAGAACTATAAACACACGGGTTACCTCTGCCTCGGCAAATAGCCCTTCCTGAGCATTTTGTAAAAACAAATCATCGTTTTATGTGGGGATAAAAGCTAAATGCACAAAGGCGTTCTGTTTAATGTAATTTACAGTCCCGAGCAGCTGCAGCGTGTCAAGCACACCGTGAACACACGCCTCACGGACCCTCACAGCCAGCTCCGCGGGTCAGCTCTGCTGTCACACAGGGACCCAGAGGGGACTGAGACCGTCCCCGGCCGCTGGCTGGAGGGGACGCTGCGGTCCCACCCACCCTGGCTCCACACCCCGTGCCCTCAGCCCTTAGACCCTACCCATTCCAGAAGGGTCCACGCAGGTGCTGCAGACTCCTGGGCCCCCACTGCCCCTAACTGTCAAAGTTTCCATTGCTGTTAGGGTCCATTTCTATGTTTATTTTTTGTGGACTGGATAGATCTTTTTTAAACAATCGGTAAAGCAGCGTGACTCGCTGGCCGTCCTGGATTTTAACCGGGGGGCGTTGGGGAGTTAATACCCACGCCCTCTAGACCTCACGCCTGACACTGGAAATCGCGGCTCGCACTCTGGCCGGGCAGCGAGGCCGGGCACACAGCAGCCCCCTCCTCGGGGCCCGCCCCACGCCTCCCTGACTTGTTTGAGATGAACCCACAGGGGAAGTGTAGAGACTGACAGAAACACGGACCGGACAAGCCCCAAACCTTCCAGCGGGAGCCCCCGGGGACTCCCTCCCGGGCGGGGATGCTTAGCAGCTGCTGGCCGGCATCCTCCCCAGACTGAGGGGGGAGAAGGGGGGAGGGCTGAGGGGCCCTGCAGCCCCTGAGACGTGACAGCCAAGGGTGCGCTGTGGTCACTGCTGGCCGAGCCATACAGCCGTCGTTCTGCTGTGACTACGCTTTATCTTTCTAAACAGATGTGTGTATGTACACACACACACACACAGAGGCATCGCACCGACACCAGACTCTCCGATCTCTGCAACGGCTGGACTGGGCTGAGGCCGAACCGGAAATCCTCGCTCCGAGGCTGCAGCCAACGCCGAGAGCAACTGGCCCCGGGTTAGGACCCGAGACCCAGGGCCCCCCTGGTAGAACACGGGAAATTCAGGAACTCGAATGGGGAAAAACTCAGACGTCTCACTCTCTCCTCCCACCCCCGAAACACAGCACTTCCTCAGCCAGGAAGGCAGTAAACCACCCTGGCACCCCCAGAACCTGTCGCGTTGCCCGAGAGAAGCCACCGAAAACCACGTGCCCTTGCTCCTGGCATTGCCGGTGTCGCTCCAGGCCGTCCCGGTCGACACTGAGGTGGTGGCCCACCTGCCACCCCACTCATCTTAGGGGCTCACTAAGAGGGTAATGTGTGTAACTACGCCACACGTTTTAGAACGGTGTGAGAAGTTCAGTTTACTATAACCAGAATCCTTTGTAACCCCATGAATTTGATTTTATGTGCTCAAAAACATGTTTCACACAAAATGCACCCTCCTGGGTGTCCCCAGGGTGCCTTGGCACACAGGGACCCCCCAGAAGAGGGGACACGGGTGGGACAGCGCCACCTGGGGGCCGGCGGGGGAACAGCTCCCTGTGTGCAGTGTGATCCTCAGTGAGGATCTGGACCAGGAGGCAGGAGATGCACTGTCGCAGAAATGTATTTACATTCCCGTTATCCCTCCCTCTCTAATTTCCCCAACAAAGCCCACACACGCTTCCCAGCTTCACGGCCCCTGCACTTCGGAGTCCCTAGTCCTGTGCCTAACTCCTGTGTCCGCAGCCCCTCAGGGCAGAATGTGTCTAATTCAGGACCTCCACACAACACACAGCCTGCGTTTCTTTTTTTGTGAAATTTTCTTTCCAAGCCTAAGTATGTGATTTCTAAAGCTTTTGCAGTGAGAATAAAAGGATTCACTTAAAATTGGTTCCTGTAAGCCCTAATTATACAGTACGTTTCATAATAAGCATTGCAAAATTGCAGACTGGGAACAAAAAAAAAATATGCTCTTAGTTAGTAATATATTGTCACTACAGCGACCAGTGTGCCAAATTTAGTTCCCAGATAAATAAAAGGAACCCTTGAAAGCCAAGCAGAAGCCTAGGGTAAGTGTGGGCTTTGCTAGAACTCTGGTGGCTAAGAAACAAGCGCTTACAGAATATTTCAGGGAGTCCTGATGTCTTTATACTCAAGGCTTTCTCCTCGCTGTCTCCAGGATCACAGTCACCTGTGCCTCCTCTGCGGAAGCAGAGGTGCTGGCCACTGATGTTAACAGAGACCTCTTTGCACCCCCCTGCCCCCGCACAAGTTCCTTCTCAGAAAAGTTCGCCCTTGCTTAGCGGGCAGCATTATCCGATCCCCGTCATTACAGGTGGCAGCTACGCAGTGCAGAGGGATGTGGGAAACTCCGGGGAGAGTGATAATTAAATGTGAAGAAGGAGGGTTGCCGTCTTTTGTTCAGCCCCTTGGGTCTGGCCTCGGAGTGACTCCAGGATGGTGGAGGGGGGCAGCCTGTTCTCGCAGGGCTGGGGGGTTCAGGGCCTGCACCTTAGTTCTCCAGCTACAGAACAGAATGGCACTGTCCCTGTATTTAAATGTTACCTTTTGTATGGAGAGCACACATGTTAAAAACGAGTTCTGAGAATGCATAAAGACAATGCGAACGTCATCCAAATGGTGAAGGGCAGCAACAAGAAAAGCGTGCCTTGTTCTCTCAGAAGGGAAAGCATGCTCCGAGAGCAAAACCGTTTCCAGGGAAATGGGGAGGAACACGGGAGCGAGTCCCTCCTCTCTGCTGGGCTGGGGCACTGCCACTCCAGGGCTTCCCCACAGCTGCCCTGTCTCCTGTCACCTCCCAGGGCCCGTGACGATGGCATTGCCCTGCTGCCTGAGACAGGGTAGGAGGTGGCTGAGAACTCCTTTTCAGGAACAGGGGTTTTCTTCCAGACACGCTGGTTTATTTAAGTGCCATTGCCGCAGGGTTTGGGAAATTATATTTTGTGCCCCTCTTATGCCACATTAAAGAGCAATACCGAACTTTCAGGGTCAGACAGGCGGTCGCCGGGGAGAGCACTGTCCTTAGAGCGTTCAGACACACGGCCACTCTCCAGCTCAAACCACAGCTTCGCCGCACGACAGCGCGTGGCCTCGGGCGCGTTCCCAACCTCCCTGAGCCTCAGCCTCCTCGTCTGTGAACCGGGGATGGCACTGTCGTCCCGACCTCGTAAGGCTGTCAGAAGGTTCCCGAGTGAGAACGTGCAGAAAGCCTTTGTGAGCACACCTGGCACAGACCAAACACGATAAAGATGCTCACAGGTGTTGTTGCTGTCTTACTGCAAGATCAGTACCGAGCATAGCGCTAAACACTGGTGGACCAGGCTGAAAGATACCTTGATTCTTTGTGTGGCTGATGACTTTTCATCCCTCCCGCTCCGGGGGACGCGTCCCCACAGACGTGTGTCCTCTCCAACACCAAGAGCTCAGCGTGGTGGCTGTTAGACCTGATTGTGTAATGGAACCACAGGTCGCTGCCGCATCGAGCCCAGAAAATGAAAAGTTCCTAATGAGCAGGGCGGCGGGTTTCAGATGGGTCACATCTGAAAGACTGACTTGAGGAAGACAAATTATGTCGTGTGTGTGTGTGATGATATTCTGCTTCAAGGTGAGAGAAATTCTGAGGCATTCAGAGTTTTCTAAAAGGAAGTGAAACTGGATGGGTCAAAGCAACGGTGTGATCTCTCGGGTCCCTGGTGAGATTTTCCTCCATCAGTTATTGGGCAAACGTCCAACGAGTTCATTAGATTTTAAACTATGCATCATTAGAACACCTGAAGTATTCTTATTTGTCTGTGATGGACCAATGTAAAACGAAAATCCTTTCAACCACACACACACACACATATTGCCCTAAACTTCGATTCGCCAGCAGCACCTCCAGGAACAGAGGGGGGGGGAGAGGTATGTGTACCTGGGGGGGGGGTGGAGCAAGAGGGGGGAGGAGGAAGAGAGAGAGAGAATAATGAATGGCAGTAAGGACAGCTCTCACCACTTATGGAAGAGGAAATACTATCTATCTATAGGTAAAACACTACAGGCAACATAAAAAAAAAGTCCACACAAAATAAAATACTATGTGTAAGCCTGATTTCACTATAATATTTGTGCACCCTACTTTAAAAGGAAAAATGGTTTTATAAAAAGATCATTCGCTCATTTAGTAAATAAAGGGTGTTAAATTATTTGGTCAGTTATTTCCCACTGGAAAAAAAAACCAGAAATAACTTATATAAGAAGATAAGATACCCTGCCTCTGCCTCGGGTTTGCGTTTAACGTGACTGATAGTCTGCAATCCCGTGGCAAGGCCGTCACCTTCATAAACACTAGCCACACAGCGAGACGCAGCTCAGTGAAGCCAGGGGCCCACTCCTCTCCCGGCTCATGTACATACGTCCTCCATCTGTGAGCCTCCTATTTACAACTAAGCCTCACACCGGGCGGATTTTTATGAGTTCTTGAGCTTTTCTGTCTTTTTTATCTTCCTCTGCATCAGCAAAGCAACTGGCGGATTCTTTAATAAAATATATTATACACATTAATATTTATAAGCCTATGAATTGATGTTTAAATAAACATTCACCAACTTCTGCCGATTCTTTTGTCTTAGGCGTTACATCGCACTTACATTGTCTGGAAAATCCGCCTTCAGCTCGGTGATACTTTGACACCAATACGCTGCCGTTTTTTCACTGATGAGCTCGATGTTCAGGAAGGAGCTTTGTCCCGGGCCGTACAGGGGCCCGGAGGTGGTCCCCCGGACAATCCTGGGTGAGACGTTCGTCACGATGTCCTGATGAGAGAGGGGAGACAGTGAGTCTCTGTATGACAAAGAAAACCTGCGAGCATGATTCTGTGCTCATTTCCATACGACAGTATTTTACCAAGTCCCTTCCTCACATTTTTAGAGAAGGATTTTAAATTACAATTTTAAATTACAGTTCCACATTAACTAGTTCCAAACGAAAGAGTAAAATACACTATGTTAGTTCCATTGACATTACATCCTGTGATTATTTTTTCCAGCATAGTGGAAAAAAGTAAAAAGATGCAAGTTCATTTACACTGGTTTTGGGCATATACATCCTAATTTGTTTGCAATTAAATAATAAACAAAAACACGATCAGTAAAATGCAAGCATATCCTTTCAGTCTATTTAATCTCAGTATTTCCAGGGAGGTTTTAATTCCAATTAGTAAGAGTTAATGCTTGTAAAGAAAACAAATTTTTCTAGGAAGTAACTCTGATGTGAATCAGCCAACAGGTACCTATCGGCACTGCTCACTGGCTTGCCAAATGCTCACACGTGTTCTAACTAACGAGGTCACCTTCCAACCCCGTGAGAAGGATTCTAGCTTCCAACTCACATTCGATGGGAACTCACTTTCCTCGGGAATGACGTGAACATATCACTACCTTCCTGGTAACTATAAACAGGAAACTGTCCAGTTAACCTGTTTGTGAAATGTAAATTAACATTCCTCAACCGCTTCTATTAAAAAAGAAGAGTAACATTCTTACACTACGAAAAACCAAAAAGAAACGAAGAAAAATGTTTCTTCAGCCAACTTCCAATTAAAATTAGTTTTGAGTAAAGGTCATGTAGTTAAGATTTATCAGAATTAGTCATTGAAGTACCCCTCCTCAAAATCTTGTCACTTTTAGTGAGATAACATGAACCCCCATTAGTATATAGCAATTAAGGTCAATTTACATATTTTAATTAAGAACCACCCCATATAAAACAATTAGCGTAATAGGCATACTAACTGGATTTCATAACATTTGGACGTTTTTCCAACTAGATAGACAGGAAACCTTAATTAGCATTAATTAGTACTGATCTGCATATGTTTGATAAGGCATACCCTTGCCACAAAAGATTATTTATTCCCGAATCTGCCAAATGCTACCGGTGCAGAGGATAAAAGGACTTTTCTTCACATTGCATGTTAATTTCTGGTAATTTACATCCACTTTTGCATTCGAATTAGTATATTATAAAATAAACGGTATAAATGTTACAATGAGCCTCCTTAAATATGTACATTTTTACTTATAGGAATCCTGCCAGTTAATGTTTTACTAATTAAGCCGTTTCACGTCTATTGTAATTGTGGGCAGCGTCGCCCGGCTCGCTTTGATTTGCTATTATGAAACCATGTTGCAGGATCTTAATGGGGAGACGACAAGACAAGTTGTTGCCGGAGGAAGCCTGGGGGTCGAGTTTCTGTTGCTGCGAATGCTCACGGGTGGGCTCTGCACCCCGAGCAGCTCCCCGGGGTGGGTGGCCACATGCTCTGCCTCTGTGGTCTGAGAAGACCTGTCCCTGTCCGTGTAACCGGCCCTGCTCCGAGGAGGCTGGCTTTCTTCGTTGTCCTATGTTCAAACGCCGCACTTCCCAGGCCCGAGGCACCCTTTCCCTGGCTCCGGTTCCTACTGCAGATGCTCCTCCCAGAGACAGACCCTGGTGGCTGTGCAGAACTTGGCCTTGGGGGCGACCGGAGTCCCTGTTCAGGTCACCTCAGCGTGTGCCTGGCGCTGGGCCTCTCCGCAAAGGAAGGGGCATTGAAAGGACCGCTCTGTACACACTGGCCTGACGTGGGCACTTCCTGCTCACTCAGCAACACAGGGGCTCTGCCTCTCCCCAGGCCACAGGTCTCAGCTGAGTGTTGGCCCCCAGGGAAGCCCTCTGACCGCACCCCCACAGCGACCCAGGCCTTTCCCAATTGTCACCCGCAGGCCACCTCCCCCCGCCCCCTGGCCCAGTGCTGGAGGGGTCTGTGTTCTGGTCTGCACCTTTCAGTGGAGTCCACCATCTGGAAGGGAGGAGCCCCCTCCTCACTCGCTGTTTCCGGCCTGGCCTGTAGGTGGTGCTCAAGGGGTGTTTTCCAACCCCCAGGCCCTAGAGCAGGTCTGGTCCTCAGACAAGGGAAGTCCACAGCGCTCGCTGCCGGCCAGGCCAGGGGTGTTGGGCTTATATTCCAATTTCAGGCACGGCTCTGCCCATTCCTCTGGAATGGGAATTTCTGGATTCCCCGGGCCCCTCAGGGACCCCTTCTCTGAAAGCAGACCTCCACCCCCAGTAGGGCTGGACCTTGCTACCCACATGTTGTGCTAGAGACGGCCGGTCACTCTACCTCTCCCCATGCCCCCTCCAGCACCGTGTGCTTGAACTTGACCACCCCCTAGCTTCTAAGACCTTCTTGACCGCTGGCCCTAAATGGCTGGGTTTACCTGACCTCTAGGAACCAAACAGAACGGCCCCATTCAGATGCAGACCAACTGTTCCTCTTTTCTAGTTCAGGTGGATGTGGATTCCTAACCTGTCCCTGGCCAGGTCAGGGGGCGTCTCAGACTTCTCCCTCTCTGGGTTGGGTCTCCACCTTCATAGTGTGTTAGAAAAATTTTCAACACCGTAAAATAAAAAGACTCAGAATAGAAGAACTGCGCCTGGACTGAGGAAATCCTGGAGGGCCCAGGAATCCACACTAGGCACCATCTTGCAGTCACGCCGATAACAGTCAGGCCTCAAGTGTCAAGAGTCAGTCAGCTGATGACTTCATTGGACAGGCGGGGGAGCGGGTGCTTCTTTCTTAAAATGCCGCCCCCTTCACTGCTCCACCGCGCCCCCCAACCGTGAAACCTGAAAGCTGAAAGTGCTGCCGTTCGCGATCCTTCCCCTGTGTCCTGTGAGTAGAGGTGAAGGTCAGTGTTGGGGTGGGGTTCCTCTCTGTAACCTGGTGTTGAGCTGTACGTGGATCAGGGAAGGATAATCCACTATGTCCTCAGCCAAGATGGAAAAACAAATGACGGGGAAATTTCGTCTGCTTCATGAGAGCGGCTGTTACTCCTTTGCACTCATTTCTGACGGTGCTTCTCTAAACAGGCCACTTTCCTCTTTCTTTAACCCGGGCAAAGACGAAATATCCTTAATAGCCACCCAGATTACGGACGCCCGCCGTGTGGATCTTACCGACTGCCCGGAGTCAACTGTTAGCTCTGCAGCAACAAAAAACATCGGCATGTTCCAAATTCAACCGAAGGGCCAACTCATGCTCACCCAACCACAAGTCAGTGACAGAAATTTCATTCTAGGTTTTCTTCCCCAAATTCAGTTCTAGTTGCTACCAGTTTGTCAAAAACCTTCTCGGGCTACTTGAGATGTCTTAGAATTCTTAAGTGAAAAGGGAGTGAAAACTTGGATGTGACCCATTATCCTTCGTTAGATGATTAGAGTTAGAGCTTCAATAATTGGGCGCTAACTTACTAAAGCTTTTGACCTGGGAATACTAGAATTTGAGTATAATTTTATAAGGTAGTAATTTGCTTTAATATTTAATAGCTAAATCATATTAGCATTGCTCAAGGGAGTTAATATAAGCAATAAACATATTCAAGAATAATTAGCACCGATAAGCGATCACTGTCTATAACAAAGAAGATGAACTGCCACAGTTCTCATCTTCAGTGCATTAACAATATTCAGATTTTTTGAACTTGATGTTTCTAGCTGAGGAATTGTGAGGTGATATCTCTTCTTTATGTGACATTGTAACCACCATTATAAAATCAAGTGTTAGTGACCTCTTCACATTTGGAGTAATGATAGTGATTTTTCAGCATTAGTAAAGAGATTTAAATGGTAAACAGACTGATTATATGTTTAAGTTCATTTACTTGACCTCCTTTATCTTAAAAAAAAACCCCAGCTATAGTGTTTCCATGGTTACGACTGGATTAAGATCATCACAATGGTCTCGATGAATGGAAAAAGGACTTTGTAGAGGTGTCTTGCTAAGAGACTAGGAAAGAAATGAGGTCCAAAAAATTGGATGGAAAATAAAAAAACATGCAGGGTGAGCCACAGCTACCGTACCAGAAGCATCTCAAGAGATATGTTATGAAGTGCAAAAAGCAAACTGTGAAAAAATATATAGACTATGATACCCAAAACAAGCAAAGTGTGACAATGTATCATTTAGCAAAACACACTTATGGGACAAAGTATAAGTAAGAGAATAATTAAAAATAACTTAGAAGAGTAGGTATGGATTGGAATAGGTAGATGCTGGGAGGGAAACGGGGGGTAAACGGCTTTCTGAAATTATCAGTGATATCTGACTTTAAAGAAACTTTACTCCTGAAAGGCAGAAACACGTGGCAGAATGAGGAGGCTGTTTAATGGGACTGCGGCGGCACCGAGCAGACTGTCACACTCTGTTGAGAACGTCTGAGTGGTTTGCCCGAAAACCTCTAACTTAAATCTTAGGGGTATCTGTTTCTTGTTTAATTTCCAAGATGCTTCTGGGAACTGGCTGGTTTTTGACAAACAAACCTTCCAGTTATTTGCTTTCATGAGCTAGAATTTCAGAAAGAACATGTACTCACTGAGGCATTAAGTGCCTTCTGCACCATCCCACTTGCTGTGTGAGTGGGATTTAACTCCTCCGCGAAAGAGGAGACGGGCCCGCTGCAAATGAATCTGATGAATCTGACAACAAACGCCCTGATGCGCGAGGCCGCTGCCCTGGGAAGAGCACAGAGTGAGATACAATGTAACAGCGCCCCGAGTCCACCAGGCTCGGCTGTTACACAAGAACCTTGTAACATTCCACTGTCTCTATGGACTACGTAGATACATACCTGATTATTCTAAAAAAATAAACTTTGTATGGTCAGAATAATCTCGGCTTGGTTGTTTCAGAGGGGTGGAATGGGCAGGATGACAATTTTTTCCATAATGCATCAGTTTTTCTACCCTAGTTTTATAGAAAGACAGCATGCGAAAA